TGACTCATAGAAAGCAAAATTTACAGGTTTTATGTTTCCAACGCATACTTTGTAACCTCTTCTTGTAAGTTACAAGTAAAACATGCCATCATACCATCTTTTGGTTTTATTATTCCGAAAAATATTATTTTAGCTGAAATGAGTCTTTGCAACCTTGGCTGCAACATGTTTGGTGTTATCGGTTCAGGGTCCAGGGGGTTATTCGGAACGTGTGTCAAAGGCCTGTTGTTTGCTGTGTCCATTGCCTCGCACAGAGCGTACTAAGCGTTCCCAGCAATCTCCGAACTGCGGAGCACCAGGTGGAATAAATTTCCACTCTACACCTCTGACGCTCAGCGAATCTTCTATCTGCGGCTGATCCAGAGTTCTCACCAGTTTCTTCAGTTCAGCATCTGCACCAGTAAAGTTGGTACCGTTGTTGGTTATGATGCACTGTGGTAAGCCACGGATGGACATGAAACAGCCGATGGCAGCGGATGCAGCTGCCCGTGTCTAGAGATGGCACGACTTCAAGGTGTACAGCTATTGATGTCATACACGTGAACAATACTACCCACCTCTTTTCAACACGACGACCAACTTTTACAGACAACGGTCCAAAATAATCAATACCCGTACACGAACGGGGTTGTTTTTTTTCCGGTGGTAGGTTTCCCATTTGCGGAAAGGTCGGTTTTGTTCCAAGCTCACGACACTTGACACAGGACCTCGTATGCTTCTTCACCTGTGAGCGAATCTTTAGGATACGGTGCCGTTCCTTGATGTTGTTAACAACGGTATCCATTCCTTGATGTGCGTCGGCGATATGGTACATACGAATCAGTAGAGTTGAAAACTGGTGGTTGTCAGGAAGAATCACAGGATTGTTCACTTCAAACGACTTTCCATCATCCTGCACACGACCTCGCATACGGATGATTCCGTTATCCAGAAACGGCGAATAAAGGGTGTCCACGATGAAATTGCCACACTATGAAATTGCTCTAACTTTTTAACCGTTGGGTAGAATTTAATGAAAATTTGGGTGGATTTAGTTCATAGTGCATTATTTACATCCTGCAAGTTTTAAAAAACTCGCGGAAATGGAGTCGAAAGAACAGCTCGTGCGTGATAAAATCTTGCGCATTCATCACGAGAACAAGGATCTCTCGCATCGTTTCATCGCTAAAACGTTGGGAATCGTGAATTCCACGGTGTCGCGAGTGATTAAGCGGTTCGAGGAACGGTTGACCACCGATCGGAAGCCCAGAAGTGAAGGAAAAAGTATTCCGTACAACACCAAAAATCACAACCACGTAGTTGGGGCCTTCAACCGAAATCTGAACGCCTCCGTTAGGGATGTGGCTAAGAAGCTGCACCTAAGCCGATGTTTTGTCCAGAAGGCCAAAACTAAGGCTGGGCTTCGAACGTTCAAGGTACAAAAGGCCCCTAATCACAACGAGAAGCAGAACAAGTCCGCCAAAACCCGTGCCAGGAAGTTGTACCTCAACATGCTGACGAAAGTTGAATGCTGCATCATGGACGACGAAACATATGTGAAGGCCGACTTCAAACAGATCCCCGGCAACCTGTTTTTCACGGCCAAGGATAAGTTCAGCGTTCCGGAGCATGTCCGCACTCAGAAGATGTCCAAATTTGCGAAGAAATTCCTGGTTTGGCAAGCCATCTGCACGTGCGGGAAGCGGAGTGCACCTTTCGTGACCCAGGACACGATGAACGGACAGGTGTGCATAAAAGAGTGCCTCCAGAAGCGGCTGCTTCCTCTCCTGAAGGCCCACAACGTCCCAACAATCTTCTGGCCGGATTTGGCCTCATGCCACTACTCCAAGGACGTGCTGAAGTGGTATGCGGACAATAAGGCCAATTTCGTGCCGAAAATGTTCAACCCTCCCAACACTCCGGAGCTCCGCCCCATCGAGAAGTACTGGGCGATTATGAAGCAGCACCTTCTTAAACGACCTAAGGTAGTGAAGACAGTCGAGGAACTGAAGAAAGTATGGGTTTACATGCAAAAAAGGTTGATTCACAGGTTGTGCAGAATCTTATGGCCGGGGTTAAGGCCAAGGTGCAAGCATTTGCGTATGGACTGTAAATAAAATACGAGTCAAATGGTAAAATGAAGTTTAATAGTTATTACTCAATCCCTGAAAATTTGATGGCAATCGGATGAAAACTCGAATTTTGCGAATCAATTTTGTGTGTGGCAATTTCATCGTGGACACCCTTTATTATGACTCAATTTTATGTCAAGTTTATGTTTCAGAGCAGCTAAATTTAGATGAATTTTTCTAAGTGTGTAACTCAAAGTACACTCAAAGATAAATTAAATCAAAAAAGCTTAAAAAGTAGGCAGATTCCCGCTTCACCTTATTGAGTCCGAGCCATGATTACTTCGGTAGTAGTCATGTATGATTAAAATCGAAATAATCTTTCCAGTATTAAATTTTATTCTTTTTCAATACTGATACATAATCAAAAAAGATTAAAATTCAATCAAAAATTATTAAAATAGAATCAAAAATGATTAAAAGTTATTAAAAAAAAAGATAATCTACAATCTAATCAACCATGATTAAACTGGGATTCATATCAGATGCTTATTTTTTAGAAAGACAGGATTAATTTTTAATCATTCGATATGATTAAACTGAGTTTAATGTCAAATTGATTAAATTTTAAGCGAAATGGGAATAGTTCAATTCATCAGTGTAGTTTTTGCGTAATTTCTGACAAATATCGCTACAAACAACAATATTGATATATAATAACAATATAATTACTTCTATTAACAAATTCACAAGTAGAAGAAGTCGTAAAAAAATTTAACTTATTCAGTTACTTTTTTTTTATTTCTTCAATAAAGAGATTATCAACCTGAAGCTGGTTCATCTCTTAGTTTAAATACGTATTAAAATAAGATGAGTACCGAAAAAAATTAAACGAAAAAGGATTATCGCAAGCAGTGTTGGCAAAATCATCAATCAAATCATGACCATCTATCATTCTCGATGCTTAATTTTCTCTAGTCATTTTTAAACAATTCCTCCTCCAGCGAATCCAACCACACAATAACTAAATATCACTTTTCTTCTTCATGTCACTCTGTGCACAAAAGCAATGCACACCGCAAAAACCTAATAATAGATCAGCGCGGTCGAGTCACACCGTCAACAAAGGGAGCGAGAGCACACCAGGCACCAAAGCAACAGGGGAAAAACATCAGCACAAATCATTCTAAATAGAATTATCGCGTCCGGGACATAAAACTATTCAAATGCGAGCACCGAAAAACTACACGGCAGCACAAAGATAGCCCGAGCTCTAAAAAAAAGCACGCAGCGGAGCAAAAACACACAACCGTTCTCGGACGCTTCTCAAAGCGGACTGTCTTCACTGCTTCGTTGTGATCACTACAAACAACAAAAGTGATGAAAATTAATATCAAATATCATCTCTAAGATTAAAAATGTATTAAAATATAATAAGTTTAGAAAAATAAATTATACTACAATAGATCAATTTACTGGTCGCAGTAGTGTTTGGTCCCGAACAGAGGAAAAAAAAATTTAAACGAAAAAGGATTATAGCAAGCAGTGTTGGCAAAATCATCAATCAAATAATATTTTTTCCGCTCTCATACGCGTGATATTGGAACAAAATATCATGCTGGATATTGATTTTACAAGTTCCTTTGTTAATGCGAAACTATTCACAACATGTAAAATTGAAGCTGAGACACAAAAATGATTCCATTGCACATCGTTTTCTTAGAAAGAGAAAGTATAGTTTGCTATCTCTCTTTACTCATCACTGATGGCAGACACGAAGGGACTGCTGCCAGCAGTGACGGTAGTTTCGGGTCGCGATCGGATGTAAAGCAAAAATCATGAAACTCAAACTAACCACGGTGTTCGCACCAGTCACCACTTTCACGGGTTTCTACCTAGAAAAAACCATACCACTGCAAGTTCACTCACTCGATCATGAGTGACCCGAGTAGATGAACAGTAGGAGATATAGTTGACCTATTCTGCCCAATGTCCCTTATCAATCTATCCCGTACCATATCGATCGCTTCACGATCAACGGTAGGGCCGAGTGTAGGTAGCAAACCGATAAGAAAAAACATCGCACGCAGTGGTGTAGGTCCCTAGAATTTTTATATAAGTTAGTCCGCAATAAACCTTTCACAGGAACAGTCGTTTGTTGAAGTACAACGTCGCGTGTTGCAATTTGTACAAGTAAGAACAAACAGTGAAATACAGTCCAACTTTACCCCGTTAAAGTACTCGCGTGTTAAGTGCTTTCTGTGCGCGTTATCCGACGACTTTGAACCCAGTGTTAAGTCCCTGATTGAACATTTTGGTCCGCTAGAACCGGATCGTCGGGAAACGCGAAAGTGAAGTGACTGTTTAGCCACCGCGTGGTCGCTGATTATTCTCCATAAGGGAGAACAATAGGACACGGGTGTCTAAAGACTAAAGTGGTTCGGTGGTCTGCTGCTGCTGTTGCTGCCATCATTCGTCTGTTGTTGCTGCCATCATCTTTCTGCTGCTGCTGCTGTTCCTGCGGAAAGTGCTACGACGGAGTTGAACCTGCCATCGTAGATTCGACGGATCCAGACGGATTTGCTAGGCGATATCAGGATAAGTACTGAGGGCCCTGAGCAGGTTTGTCTGTGGCGCGGATCTCTGTTGCATGTGAGACCGACGCCGGCGGGAAAAAAATTTCATGAGCCAATCGAAGTGAAATGAAAAATCGATTTACTACCGTGAATAAATATTATACAAATTGCTTGCATGATCAAATTTGTGGCGTCCAATTTATTTGAAGCTGAGTTGAGCCCTGACCATTCCACCATCTTGTTGGCTTTGTCCGCTTGGTTTTCCTTGTTCTTGATCTCCCATTTTGAATTGGTTTCATTGTCCAGTCAATACCGCGTGGTCGATTCGAGTATCGCATTCGGGTGAAGTAATAAGTTATAGTGAAAGTGTTCAATTATGCCAGCAACCGATGATCTACGGCTGCTGCACAAGCAAGAGCGTGCCATGCGGATTTCCTTGGACAACATTAAGGAGTTTGTCCAATCGATTAACGATGGAGCTGATAGACGTTCTTTGGACATGCGCATAGCCAGGCTGGATGATATCTGGCAACAATTCATCGATATTCGGATGCGCATTGAGCTGATCACTGATGGCGTCGATGATGAGATTTCCACGGACGAAACGGAAGAAACGGAGGAAGCAAGATTGCAACGGCAAGTCAGGGTCCAGAGACAACGAGATCGTGAGAACTCGAAGATAATTAAAGATTTCGAGAATGAAGTGTACCGCTTGAAGGAATCTATGTTCGGGTTTCTTCAATCTACATCAAGTAGTGCACTGCAAGTTCAACAGCATCAATCTGTAGCTGTACCACAGTCCAAGGTGAAGCTCCCAGAGCTGAAACTGCCCACCTTCAACGGAAGAATCTCGGATTGGGTCACTTTTCGAGACACGTACAAGAACCTGATCCACAATGATACTGGCTTGTCTAATATGGATAAGTTCACTTATCTGCGAACGTCTCTCATCGGTGATGCGCTTCAGGAGATCGCATCGATCGAGATTTCCTCTGCCAACTACCCCATTGCGTGGACCGCCTTGGAAAATGCCTTTGAGAATAAGAAGTTGTTGGTGATGACCCACTTGGACTCGTTGTTCGCCCTAGAGCCACTCCGGCAGGAGAATTACGAGTCGTTGAGTAAACTCGTAAATGGGTTCGAGAAAAACCTGCAAATGCTGTCCAAGATTGGTGAAAACCCGGAGGGTTGGAGCACGTTGCTGCAGTACATGCTCTGCAAACGTCTACATCCCACAACACTACGCCAGTGGGAGTCCCACTATAATTCTAAGGAAGTCCCACGATATGCTGACTTAATCAAGTTCCTGAAGAGTCACTGTTCGGTGTTGCAGTCTATCTCACCTGGAAGGCAATTCCAGGCTGAACCGAGGAAAATATTTCGTCCTTCCACTAGTCATGCAGGTATCCAATCATCAGGATGCTGTCCATTCTGCGGAGAATCTGCGCACTCTGCATTTAAGTGTGCGAAGTTTTCAAAAATGAGAATTTCGGAAAGGGTCGATGCCGTGAGGAAAAATTCGCTCTGCTTGAACTGCTTGTCTCCTGCACACATCGCAAGATTTTGCACTAGAGGATCGTGCTATCAATGTGGCCAGCGTCATCATTCGTTGCTTCATGCGAACTCATCGACCACCGCGAATTCACAGAACAGATCTGGACCATTCCAAGAGAATCAGTCAAATAAGAAACCACAAGGACAAAACACGCAACCACCACAAACTAAGCCGACACCTAACGGTCACTCAACAAACACTCAGCAAACACAACAAAGCCACCCGGAATCTACCACGAATTCCACCACAAATGCAAGTAATGCTCATTCACACACTCCCGCCACAGGCGGCCCCAGTACAAGCTACCACACTGCTCCTTTAGTAAACACACAACATGTACCACACACTGTTTTGCTCTCTACCGCTGTCGTCAATCTATATGATCAGTACGGCAATTCTTTACTCGCTCGTGCATTGCTGGACTCTGGCTCCCAGCGATGCTACATGTCTGAAAACATTTCTCAGAAGCTCAAGTTCAAAAGAACTCGTGAGCATCTGCCAATCGTTGGAATTGGAGGGTCTCGCACTGCTTCTGCTCAAGCAATTTGCGCTGAAGTTCATTCGCTCGTCACTAATTACGTGACAAATTTGAAGTTCCATGTGTTGCCTCGAGTCACTGTCGATCTACCCACACGAAGCATCGACATTCGATCGTGGAACATTCCGAAAGAGATCATCCTAGCGGATCCGACGTTCAACGAGTCCGGAGCAGTTGATTTGATAATTGGAGCGGAAGTCTATCTGGAGTTGATGATTGCAGAACGCCAGATCAAGCTTGGAGATACTGGCCCAACCTTGCAGAACACGCTGCTGGGTTGGATCGTTTCCGGAGGCAGTCCGGAAGTATCAACATCCCTAACGACAGTGTCATCCTGTGCCACTGAGAACATTGAAGAAGGATTAGCACGGTTCTTTGAGCTAGAATCGTGTCGCACCACCAGCACCCTATCGCTGGAAGAATCAGCCTGCGAGCTACACTTCGAGAAGACGACAACGAGAGATTCGAGTGGTAGATTTGTCGTCCAACTACCCAAGAAGCAATTCATGCTGGATCGTCTAGGAGAGTCGCAGTCTATAGCCATTCGTCGCTTCATGGCATTGGAGCGAAGACGTGATGCAGATCCAGCAGTGAAGAAGATGTATACCGAATTCATTGAAGAATATCTACGGATGCAGCACATGCGTGAGATTTCACCACGGGAATTAAGTACATTTCCAGTTGCTTATTTCCTACCGCATCATGCGGTAATTAAGCCGGACAGCACGACAACCAAGTTGCGTGTCGTATTTGACGCATCCTGCGCAACCACCACTGGAGTCTCGCTAAACGACGTCCTTATGGTAGGTCCTGTTGTTCAGGAGGACCTAAACTCAATAACACTTCGCTTCCGCCTGCGGAAATATACAATAACAGCCGACGTCGAGAAGATGTACCGGATGATGAAGACGCATCGCTTGGACCATCCTCTTCACTGCATTGTGTGGAGGGCCGATTCTGGAAAACCTCTTCGCATCTTCGTTCTGACCACCGTAACGTACGGTACCTCTTCAGCACCATATCTGGCAACGCGTTGCCTCAAGAAGCTGGCGGAGGAAGAGAAAGGAAATTTTCCTGCCGCAGCGGACACCATAATCTACGACTTCTACGTAGACGACATGCTGAAGAGCGTCGACAGCATCGAAGAAGGAGTGCAGCTATCCAAAGACCTCATCCACGTGCTGGCCACGGCTGGACTGACCTTAAGAAAGTGGAGTTCAAATTCCCGAGAGATCATGGACAGTATCCCACCATATCTGCGGGATGAACGCTCATCTTTGGACCTCGAACCTTCGAATTCCATCGTCAAGACCCTCGGACTGAAGTGGGAACCTCGATCGGACGTGTTCAGATTCACTGTACCTCAGTGGAATCCTGCTACTGAGCTCAACAAGAGGATCATATTGTCCGATTTCGCAAAGCTTTTCGATCCCTTAGGCCTGGTAGGACCTACATTAGTCCAAGCCAAGGTATTTCTTCAGGATCTTTGGAGAACAAAGTGTTCCTGGAACGATACTCTTCCCGAAGAGCTTCAAAACTGGTGGCGAGAATTTCGAGAAGGTTTGGCAGGATTGCGACTGCTGCAAGTCCCTCGATGGGTCGCCTTTGGAAGCGATACCATCTCCGCTGAACTCCACATGTTCTGTGATGCCTCCAAGAAGGCATACGGTGCCTGCATCTATCTCCGATGCACCTCATTCAATGGATCAGTCACTGCCTTGCTGCTTACAGCAAAATCCAGGGTAGCTCCACTTGAAGATTTGGAAAAGAAGCGGAAACAAACCTCCATACCGAGATTGGAGTTGTCATCCGCACTCACCGGCGTTCATCTGTTCGAGAAAGTCGTCCAAAGTATCAAGATAACTGCTCAACCATACTTTTGGACTGACTCGATGATCGTCAAATGCTGGATCGCTTCACCACCCTCTCGCTGGAATATGTTCGTGGCCAACAGGGTGTCAGAGATCCAACACATTTCTCGTGGAGGAATCTGGAACCACATCGCTGGGTTAGAGAATCCCGCGGATGTTCTATCACGGGGAATGACGCCACATTTGATACTGAAGGACTATCAAATGTGGTGGCACGGACCATCCTGGCTTCGGCAGGATAAGACATCCTGGCCGACAACTGCTACAATCACTACTGAACACCTGGATCCCTCTCTTCTTGAAGAAAGAACTACTGTGTCAGCCGCTGCTCAAGTGATCGAGACCAGTCCAGTCTTCGGTCTACGATCGTCTTTGAACGATCTTCTCCGATTAGTAGCTCTCATCCGAAGATTCGCCCACAACTGCAAGAACCGTTTAGATCGTAGAGTAGGTTTCATCAGATATGAAGAGCGAGAAGAAGCGCTGCGTCAGCTGCTAGCTCTTGCCCAACAGGAAAGTTTCCCCGAAGATCTCGCTGAACTGCAGAAGAATGGTGAAGTCAAGTCTACATCGAGGATCAACCAGCTCACTCCACGCTTTGTAAACGGGTTAATCCTGGTCGGCGGCCGGCTCGCGAATGCCAACATTTCGGCTGGCCGGAAACATCCAATTGTTCTTGACAATCAACACCCGCTGTCTGTTCTCATAGCCACTGACTATCACCGCAAGCATCTCCATGCTGGACAACAGCTACTGACCGCCAGCATGCGGGAAAGATACTGGCCAATTGCTGCTCGAAACCTAGCACGCATGGTCATTCATCGCTGTGTGAAATGCTTTCGTGCTCGACCGAAGCTCCACGAGCAACTCATGGCAGACTTACCATCGGAACGAGTAACTCCACCTCCCCCTTTTTTACGAGTAGGAGTGGATTACTGTGGTCCGTTTTACATCCAGTACCCGTACAGAAAAGGAGCACCGATTAAGTGCTTCGTCGCCGTGTTTGTGTGCCTTGTAGTGAAGGCTGTCCACCTGGAGGTCGTGGGAGACCTCACCAGTCAGGCCTTTATCGCTGCGTTGAGAAGATTCGTCGCACGCCGTGGACGTCCAGAAATCCTCATGTGCGACAACGCAACGAATTTCATCGGGGCACGGCGTGAATTGGGTGAACTACGGAAACTGTTCAATAACCAGGAATTTGCGAAGACAGTAGCTCAAGAGACGGCGATGGACAATATCAACTTTAAATTCATCCCGGCAAAATCTCCAAATTTTGGTGGGCTTTGGGAGGCTGCCGTGAAGTCGATGAAAGGACATCTGAAGCGTACCCTTGGAAACATGGTTATTTCATCTGATGAAATGGCCACTCTGGTGGCGCAAATCGAGGCCTGCCTCAACTCGAGGCCGATTACGCCACTCTCGAATGACCCGAACGACATGGAAATCCTGACTCCTGGTCACTTTCTGGTGGGAAGACCACTCACAGAAATTCCAGAACCGTCACTTGAAGACCTCAATCAGACCAGGCTTTCGAGATGGCAGCGAGTGCAGAACTTCCTTCAACACATCTGGAAGCGTTGGTCGACTCAGTACCTTTCTGATCTACAAGCTCGAACAAAATGGACCAGGCAACGGAACAACGTCTCCATCGGAACCATGGTGCTGCTATGTGAGGATAACACACCACCCCTCAAGTGGCGCATGGGACGAGTAGTGGAGATCCACCCGGGAAAGGACGGCAACATCCGCGTCGTTAAGGTTCGCACAAAGGACGGAGAGTTCCTACGGGCGATATCCAAAATTTGTATCCTGCCAATACGGGACAATGACACTGCAACATCAGCTCAAGGGGAGGATTAGTTCCTTCTTCATCGAGCGCTTTCGAGCGCTGCGGAGGCCTGCGGGTCTCCGCGTACCAGTTAAGTCTTTGTTTTTCAATTAACGGTCAAAAAGCTTAGAGAATGTTTTGTCGTCCATAGTCCAGTTCCTCCACCGCGGCTGGAGCCGCACGTCCGAATTTTTGATGTCCGCCGTGTTCCTCTGCCCTTCATCTACCAGTCATCGTCAACTGTCGACCAAGGATTACCCTCGAAATCATACCGAAGTGTCAACAACAACCAAATTCCACTTGGACAGCCCTGAAACATCCGGTCTGAAGGCAATTCTTCATCATCTGATGGTTACTCGACGGGTTCATCGGAAGCGCAACCGCGCTAGCGGAGGCGGATGGCCTCCGCGGACCAGGGAAGTCGTTTGATCTTTGTAATTTATTGTTAAAAAATCGCCTTTCATCTTATTTAGAGAATTCCGGTCGAAGATAGCCTCATCCGAGGTCGAAGGGTCAACTAGCGATGTCGAATTGAGGAGGAATCCATGGACGATCCCCAACCATCCATCGACCACACAGACCGTGTGAGCGATGACGAGACAGACGAACGAGGCATACATTCCAGCAGCTGCAGTACAGTGATATCTATTGTTATTTATGTACATACGTTTGTTTTGATTTGCATGTTAGGAGATAGGAGATTTTTGTTTTGTATAGCTATCGATGTATAAATGTAGGTTGAAACTAGGCATTTCAAGGCGGCCGGTATGTTCGCACCAGTCACCACTTTCACGGGTTTCTACCTAGAAAAAACCATACCACTGCAAGATCACTCACTCGATCATGAGTGACCCGAGTAGATGAACAGTAGGAGATATAGTTGACCTATTCTGCCCAATGTCCCTTATCAATCTATCCCGTACCATATCGATCGCTTCACGATCAACGGTAGGGCCGAGTGTAGGTAGCAAACCGATAAGAAAAAACATCGCACGCAGTGGTGTAGGTCCCTAGAATTTTTATATAAGTTAGTCCGCAATAAACCTTTCACAGGAACAGTCGTTTGTTGAAGTACAACGTCGCGTGTTGCAATTTGTACAAGTAAGAACAAACAGTGAAATACAGTCCAACTTTACCCCGTTAAAGTACTCGCGTGTTAAGTGCTTTCTGTGCGCGTTATCCGACGACTTTGAACCCAGTGTTAAGTCCCTGATTGAACACACGGTTTGGTTAGAATTTTAGGTGGTGACTTTTATTAGTTTGATATTTGTAGCTACATTATCACAGCTTGTTGAACCATCCTCAGTTGCTTGCTTGTTGATTTTTGTATACGGGGTGGGCATTGGTGAGATATGAATTTTTGATATTTTCCCAACACTGGTCGCAAGTGCCTATTTTTATTTCACGTGTGCTAGAATCTGATAATTGATATCAAATCAAAAAAGACCCGTCATAAAAACTCCGGGCCATCCGGGCCTCAAGGGAGGCTAAGATGGCCCTGCTTGGAACTTCGTGCAAGTTCCGGCTACTATCTTGAAATTAAAGCAACTGCTGTTAAGCTATCTGATCTTTCCCAAAGTATTCGCAATTATCTAAAGTTAACAAACGCTTCAAACATCTCAGCAGTTCTCAAAACTGCTCCGAAGTTTGTTTTTGGAACATCTGTAATGTCCCTGCAATTTTTCAGAAATTAATGGAATAGTCAGTTCTCTGTTCTTCGGAACTTCCCTAAACTTCCTACAGTTTTCAAATGTGCCCAGAAGTCTGCAGAACGTCTCAAAACATCTTCAAACTAACGTGATGTTTTCGGGACTTACTGAAAGTCTAGGGGCGCTAAGATGTTTTTTTTTTCAATGTAATCACACGTATTTAATAGTTCCAGTGCTTCAAAATTGATGAAATTTTGGATTTCGGTTCCATTTAACATGTTGATTACCAATATGAAATTACCTCATAACCCCTGAAGAACCCAATTTGCAGGCGGAATTGTTTTTATCACTAGGGGTGGAACAATACTTCAGCCAGGACCGATTATAATGTTAAGTTGTCTGCATTGGAGTGCAGGTAATATCAAGTTGTTTGTACCTCATGGGCGTACAAAAATTTATATTTGACGAGGACAGAATATTTCAAGCTGAACAATGCATTAAGTCCTAAGTCACATTGACAGATTCTATTCGACGACTTTTTCTTTGCACCCTAACGGCTATAACACATTCCCAGCTATTTTCAGCTCACAGATCGATGAAGGAAGCTATTATCTAGCTTCTAATACAACAAATATGACTAGAAACGGTTCTGTATCCAAGTTATTACCGAAAGAAAAAGTCGTCGAGAGGCTTCGATCAATGTTACTTGGGACCAAATGCATTGTTCAGCTTGATTTTTCATACTTAACACATTTGAAGACGGATTTTTTTAAAACGTTTGTTTTGTTTCTGCAGCCTTGATTAAATAAGCGCTTGTAGACCCAAATGTCTGCGCCCAACAAATCATCATGTGAAACTGATTACTCATGGAGTAAAAATGAGTAGCTACAATGACACGCTTGCTGTTGCCCGTTGCCAGTTTGACAGAATGACAATTTGACATATATATTTAAATTTAGACAGAATACGATGCTTTCAACTTATCTTCAATACAAACATTTCGGAATCACTTAAATGCAAACAACCTCCTACGGTTCACATTTTAGCTACAAACAAAATGCACCGCGTCGTGGGTACCTGCAAAGACCATCTCCGACGCTCATTTCGTCAGGATTTGATTTACGACAACAACCGGCAAAACGATTAGTAATTGCCTCCAAAAGCAGCACGGTACGCCTGCGTGCATGCATTTGGATCCACTCGGTCCATTTTTGACACCCCTTTATGGCCGATTCAAAAATGTCCAATCCATTTGGGCTGTTTCCGCGCAGTCCCATCCATCATCATCCCCGGGGTTGCTGTTCTGCTGGCAGGCAAGCCGGGGTAGAAATTGACACCGACGCCGGCACTAATTGAGAATTAGCACGCCCGTTAATGGACTCGCCCGGCAATTTGTAGTAACATGTTAGATTTAATTAAATTTCACAACATCTGCTGCACCACCAACCACCACCGCCGCCTGCCGCAAATAGACAGCAACGACAACGTCGACGTGTACTCGTCGTCACATAGTGACAGGAAACCACTATTGCTCCAATCCAATAAAAGCTTCGGTAATTGCTTCTAATCTGCTTTCGCCGTTTGCTTGTTTCTATTTTCGAGTTTTTGCTCTCCGCCGCCATTATTGCTCTCGAATCAACTGGGCCTGGGAAATGTGACTTCTTAATCGTGGTAAAGCGCTCTGGGTTGAAGTAATTCATCGATTCGAATGTACTCCGACCAATCGTCACTCAAGCGTTACGCAGCAGCACCATTTCCCTGAATCGAGTGCGCAAGATTTATTGAAATCACTGTAACCGCGGCCATTACAGCTCGATCGAGCTGATTGCGTCCCCAGCGGAATATATGTTGAAGCTCTTATAACCGGGAACGCATAAACTTAATTGATCTACTTTTTATCGACTTACGGCTCGGCACCATAATTGGTTTCGAGCGGAGCGATCGCAGCCGGGCGCGAGCAAATACAATGTTTACAGATTGTTTTTAATGTTTCGATTTTTTTTTTGTGTAATTCAAGCACCCACTTTCCATTTCACTTCACTTCACGCGGTAAGTAGCTCGAGATGAGACCGCGCCGGCCGCAGTCCTCGCCACGATTTGACCGTAGCGGTAATCCTCCGCTGGCGCTCGGCACGACTTTCCTGTTCGGCGGTGGACTACTTGCAATAGGTGTCAAAAGGCTCCGGTTCTCTACACGGAAATCGTGTGGTATGGTCTCGGCTCGTCGCGATGGCTCCTAATCTAGTCCGTGGCGAACTTTCATCGGCTTTTCGGGACGAATAGAGCACACTCGGAGCATCTCTGAAGCGTCGCGGTCGTCGACGTAACCTGTCAATCTCGCGGGCTACAACGGATTAAATCGAGATCTCCGGGGGGAAGCAAAAGAGTGCTCCTCAGACCAGACACAACGACGGCGGTGATGGTGAAGGAGATTACGTAAAAGGTCATTGTGGTGGACCCCGGAGGTGTGTTTTTCGTTCGTTCAATTTAAATCAGACAGGAGTGTCACTGGTGGAAAGTTATGAAATTTCGTTCGATTTACATATGGAGCAGTTTGGTTGTTATTGATTTATTTGATAAGGCTCAAACGAATTAACTTTAAAGAGCCGAGGATTCTTGGTCACTATACAATACATCTTAAAACTACAGTCAAAAGGTACAACACAATAAACACTTTATCTTCCGCTATCCAAAAAGCCTCGTCCATCAGAACTGGAGCCGCTTCCAGTACACTGCAGTGATTTCATTGTATGGCATACGCCAACGTGGGTTAGAGCGCTTCCATTGCAACAATGGACGCAAAATGTGGTCAGCACTCACACACTCATCACTAAACAGTTGCTTTCCAAAGTCGACGACGCATCGACCGAAAGAACTGCTAATGAAGAACAATGAGGAGGACCAAACAATGGTTGCTGCCGAGAAAACAGACGATCGCGTGGCACACATCGAGAGTGGGCTGCTTTTGTCGACAGCCGAGCAGTTTATCAAATGGGTTTAACATACGTTACCTAAATGCTGCTGTTCTATTAATCTTAAATTGTCATCGACAATTTCAGTTTTCAATGCTCATCTTTGATTTCAAAACAATCATCTTTCTGGTGATCATTAGGATCATTCAGAAGATCATATCTTGCCTCACCTCTGTGATCATCCGATTCATCCGATCGCTTGACCTCTTCTGGTTTTCTTGCAGTGATCATCCGATTTATCTTATAGATATAGCTTAACTCGATGATCAGGAAGATGTATCGAGCATTTCCAAAAATGGTTATATTCATCTCTGCTGCCAGCCTCATGTCCATTCAGCTGCATGTCCGTTCGGCCAAATAGCATTTGGTGTTTTATCGAGTCACCATTTGAGGGTACGTTGGAAGTATTGT